CACACACACACACACACACACACACACACACACACACACACACACACACCCAGCAGCCCCCTGTTGCCTCCAGGAACAAATACAAAACGCTCTGAAGTTCAAAGCCTTCTATAACCCAACCCCACCTTGGCTCCTTACATCTTATTCCCCAACACATACTCTTCACTCTAGTGACCCTGGCCTCCTCCTCTTCTTTGTTCCACAAGTAAGACACTCCATCTCCAGACTCCAGGCATTTTCTCTGGCTCTCCCACCTGGAATGCTCTTCCTGACCTCCACCTACTGGCTTCCCTCAAGTCCTACCTAAAATCCCATCTTCTTTAGAAAGCCTTTCCCAACTCTTAATTCTAGTACCTTCCGTCTTCTAATTAGTTCCTATTTGTCTCAGGGAGAGGGGGAGAAAGAAGGGGAATTACATCGAACTTACTATGTGCCAGGCATTATGCTAAATGTTTGTTTTGTCTTTACAAGTATCTCATTGGATATTATTTATTACTATTATGACTTATGTACATCCATACACACTTATGTGTGTGTGTGTATGTTTCAGGGACTATCATTTGCTTCTTTTTGTCACAGCACTTAGCAAAGTGCCTAAAACACCGGAGGCATCTAATAAAAACTTAGTGATGGATTGAATTGTGAAGTCTTTCTGTTGTATCATACAGGTTGCCAAACATGAGAGTTTATAAAGGAGAGAAACTTCATGACTGTAATCAATGTGGGATGGCATTACACCTGAGAACAGAGCCTACTCAATGTGAGAGAATTCATGTCAGAAAGAACCCGAGGGTGTAATGACTGAAGGAAGGCTCTGCTCCAGAACAAAAGCTTTCCTCAGTGGCCTCAGATCTTACAACCAAAGGAGTTGTGTACGTATGTAGACTTTCAGCCAGAAAAAAAAACAAACCACTCGTTCAACAGCACATGAAATGATAGACCTTATGAGTGTAACAAAACAATCATTTTAGCCCAAGTTAACATTCTTTCCTGAAAATCAGAGAATTAAAACCTAAGGGGGAACACCCCACCCCTCATCAGGGATTCTTTTTTTTTTTTTTTGGTGAGACAATTGGGGTTAAGTGACTTGCCCAGGGTCACACAGCTAGATCATCAGGGATTCTTAACCTAAGGTCTACGAACTTTTTTTAATCTTCTGATAATTTTGTGTGACTATATTTGGATTTCTTTGTAGTCCTATGCACTTTATTATGTATTCTAAGACAATTTTGAGGATGGGTTTGCAGTCTTCACCAGTCTGCCAGAGAGGTCCTTGACACAAAAAATGAATTCCTGGACTGAATGAAACATCTCAAATGGCTCTCTACTTCTTCCTCAGTCTTTATTTATTTTTTTTCCTCCTCAAGACCTAGTCTTCTCCCTCTCAAAACTCCCAAATTTGCTCCCTATGATTTAAATTCTTAACTTTGAGAAAATTGTAGTTGATCTCACAGGTGCCTGAGCCTGGAACTCCTCCAAATCTCTGAGAATTGTCAACTCTGTGTTCCAGAAGAAGCTGGAGCTCTGTTCCTCATTAGGACTCATTGCTTTTCCTGCCTCCTCTAGAGCATCAGCCCTGTTATGGGAGAAATGTTTTCTCTCTGTGTTCACGTGGTGGGTAACCATTGCTGGGTATGTATTTATCACAACACAGAAATTATGGATGTTAAAACCTGAGTTTTATCATGCGCAAGCATAGGTTCAGGCCTCAGAGAAAACCTGAATGATTATGAGGATTCTGACAGGGCTTTTTATTGGCAAAATCACATCAGAGTGACAGAAAAATAATTTGTTTACATATTGCAATCTTGTGCATTCCTCTTAGGCCATAAAAGCTAAATAGAAGATAGATCCATATTCCCATACTTCCTTCAGTGCCATAAAAGTTGGACAAACTTAGTTAAACAAGTCATCTCAGATGTCACAGGGATCAGCTTCTGCACCATGGCAAACCGCTGTCAGGTCACTGGTCCTCGTTAGCGCCTTGTCCCCCAGCTGTGAGTCCTTAGCTCATTGGTCTTAGGCTCATACTGGCTGCTGTGCTCAGTGGGGCCAAAGCAATGGAAAGCTGAAGAATGACTAGCAGAGTCCAAGCAGATGTATGGGCGACGGTCCACATGGGCAGCTGATATAGTCAGCCAAAGCCTCGGGCATTCCAGGCTGTTTTTCTTGGCACGTGACAACATAACACCTCAAACGTTTCATGTCCGGTGGCTCCAACTGAGGGGGGGCAGGGCTGCCAACCTTGTTGGTGCCCATAGGTGATGTGCTGGGCCAGCTGCAGGTCAGCGTCACCATCAGGGCCACCTGGGATGAGCTGCAGCGGGGCAAATCAGGACAGGGAACTTTCTGTTACATTCTTGTTTCTATTTACACCTTATATTCTGTTTTCTTTTGCTCTGCAAAACATCTGTCCACATGACCTGAGGTTTAAGTCAATACTGTGTAATTCAAATGCCTTTTAAACTTCCTTTCATTCTCTTTCAGTTTCTGACTTTGATTCTCCCATTGTTCTCAATGTCCCACAGTTTGTGAATGTCCGGTCACTAACACAGGCTCTGTGCAAGTTGACCTGTTTCTGTTCATTCAAAATTTCATTTTCCTTTAGAAATCACCACTTTATCTTTGATGTGTTCTAATTACTTTGCTGGTCAGATTGAGTTCCTCCTTTTCCTGCTGTTGTCGTCTGGGATCCAGTGATGCCGGCTTCCTGGCTGGCCAGTCAATATCTCCCACGAGATTCTGCATCTCCTGACTGGACATTTTCACTGGCTGTCTCCTACGGCGGGCTCCACTCCGCCTACTAGCTGTTTTTCCTGAAACACAGTTCTGACCATCTCTCTCTCTCTCCTTCTCTCTCTCTCTGTCTCTTCTCTCTCTGTCTCTCTCTCTCTCTCTCACACACACACACACCCCACTCAAAAAACTCCATTGGCTCACCTTCACCTTCAATCTAAAATATAAAATACTCTGACATTCAGAGCCTTTCATAAGCTAGCCCCCTCCTACCTTTCCAGTCCTTATACACCTTACTCTCCCCTACATAATCTCTGATCCAGTCACATTGGTCTCCTGGCTGTTCTACTAACAAGACTGCCTCTCGGCTCTGGGATGTACTCTCTCCACTCTGACTACTGATTTCCCTGGCTTCCTTCAAGTTCCAGTTAAAATCTGGGGGTAGCTAGGTGGCATAGTGGTTGGAGTGCTGGGCCTGAAGTCAGGAAGATTCATCTTCCTGAGTTCAGATCTGGCCTCAGACACAGCTGTGTAATCATGGACAAGACACTTAACCTTGTTTTCCTCAGTTTCCACATCTCTAAAATGAGCTTGAGAAGGAAACGGCAAACCCCTCCACTATCTTTGCTAAGAAAACCCCAAATAGGGTCACAAAGAGTCGGACATGACTAAACAAAAAAATCCCGTCTTTCTACAGGAAGCTTTTTCCAGCCCCTCTTGATTCCACCATCTTCCCTGTTTATTTCCTACGTATCCTGTATGCAGATTATGCATATATATTTGCATGCTGTCTCCTCTACTAGATTGCAGACTTCTTGAGGACAATGCCTCTCTTCTGCCTCTTTTTCTATCGCCAGCCTGTGCATAGTAGGCTCTTAACTGGTGATTGGATTCAACTGCTTTTTGCCTTTCCTTGTATTCCTAGCACTTAGCCCAGGACCTTACACATAGTAGGCTCTTACTAAATGCTTGCTGACTGTAAACATGGGCGGGTCAGACTCCCTGGCCTCTAAGTTCCCTTTCAGCTC